AGGGACCAGACCATACATTAACACTCGACACGGTCAACAACTTGGGCGCCCTCTACGCGGACCTGGGACGGCTTGACGAGGCGGAGAAGATGTACCAGCGGGCGCTGCAGGGCTATAAGAAGGCAATAAAGCCAGAAAAATTATCTACTTATCTTCCTGCGCTACTAAATATGTGGAGCTTTGCCTTACTCTACGATTGTCAGCACCAGGTAGAAGATGCTAGAGCCTGGTACTTGAAAGCTCTCTCAGGCTACGAAAGCGTGGTTGGAACTAATCATCTAAACTGCCAGACGCTTCGAAGCAGGCTTGCTGTCTTGGGTATAGAACCTGACAAAACCGATGGATCAAGAGCAGAGTTTTCGGCGTAAAGACCTAGTGCTATAGATCTTTCTGCCAACGTTAAGGAAGCAGCTAAATAAGCTTCTATACAGCACAAACTCTTCCGCAGATTTAGATGCAAATACTATTAATGTGGTGCTGAGGCTTGTGTTTGTATACTGCAGGCAAGCAGCATATAGATCTGGAGCACATCGTTATGCAGCATAGGGTTACGTTAGCTGCACACATTTCTAGAAACCCGTCGCCATGCGCCATAGCTATTCTCAGAGGTTAACTTAAATGGGTAAAGCGCCAAATTTGTTACAGACGATTACAACAACATATAAGCACGCTACTGCATGCTAAGTCTCTCTAGTGTATCCCAACACGCTAGAACGCTTTTTACTATCTTCGATTTTAACCGGCGAAACTCTCGGACCACATTGTTGCTAGGTTAAAGAGGCCTTTAGAGCTTATAAATAGGATATTCCTTATTTAAACTCTATATCTAACCCTCCGAGGTCTATGGAGACCTTCGTGGTCTCGAAAAGACAGGGGGTATTAACGAAGGGTTAATTTTCAGCGCCGTTGAAGCCATCAATAACATAGTCAACATCATGGTAGTTATTGTCGGAGACTGGTGCACATATAGAGAAGTAACAATAGAATATTATACATGATTCACAGGCCTATGTACTCGCGAAAAAGAGATAGCGAAGGTCCGAAGTGAAAAGCGTCCCGTTACACCGTGCGTCCCGGCACGCAGGGACGGACGTTAGTCGTGCCTATGTAGCACATGCTTACCGGGCACAACCTATTCCGCAATTCACTAGCTCCACCCTGCTACTATAAGCAAGAAATGGATTTACTAACTTAGGGTCTCCACTAGCTCTATTTACTACATGATCTCTTTTAAAATGCCCTGATAACGGTTATAAGAGTGCAACACAAATTAAAGTCTCTTTAAACTCCGATGCCCATATTCTCTAGCTGCCACTGATTTAGAGTCCTAACCGATGGTATTGCATGTGGATGTTGAGGGCCCAGAACCTGTACTTGTAGCTGGGAGCATTTTTCCATTAGTAAAATAGCATCATCGTTGCGGCCTTGAGCCTTGAACGTAAATGCCAGGTTGGCCATGCTGGTCAGCGTGGAAGGATGCTCCTCCCCAAGCACCCTCGAACTCGTCTCCATCACTTGCACCTCCAGCTCTTCGGCCTC